TTTATAGCCAGAAGACCCTAGGGATGTTTTCTCTAATTTTGTATCTGAATTTTCCTTGACTGATTTCTATTTATGTGAACAGCAAACACTATTTGATAAAAATTTTGTAAGATTATTGATGCCATTACTGAAGTACACATTAGCATGCATTTTAAGGTTTACTATAGGCTCTTGTTCAATCTGCGATTGATTACCCAGAGATAGATAGCTATATTTTTGCTAAAATGCGAGGGCAGATGTCAAGCACAAAAAATACGTTGTAACAACATCCAATTAAAGAAACCTTATTTCAGAAGCCATTTATGATGTTAAAAGTTACAGAAAAGTAAGGTGTGATTTTTTTTTCTAGCTGGAGGCTCTATATTCACAAAGAAAGGAGGTTTTACAGTTAACATGAAATCAACCTAGAGGAATGATACGGTTTCATATACATTATTCAGCTTTCTTCAGTAACTAACATCTGATTTTTATCGCCTGAGACCTTGGCTTTTTCAGCTCTCTTTATAGCAATCTCACACAAACTGTATACCAGTCTCTTGTTACTTCTGGCCATATTGTCTTTGCCTCTGTCTAGGTAGCAGAGGATCATGGGAGATGAGCCAGATATCTCCTCAGTTGTCTTCTCACTGCTTGGGCATGGGCCATCATCAAGGGTGGGTGTCAGTTTCTGTTGTGGGCAGTGTCACAGCCACACACGTGCCTTCAGGGTAGACTGCATTTATGGGTGGTGGCCTCTCAATCCCTCTTATCTGATGCATGTGGAAAACTGTGTCCTCACTAGACAGATCCCTGGCTTCGTTAATTCCAGTTGCCTTACTGTTGTAGAAATTTGCCTTGTAAACTCTGATATTTTCATTATGTAATTCCTCTAGTAGATTCCTTGATACTCACTGTTGATTCTGCTTGTGATATTTTGATGCCCTTATAACCCTCTTGTTGGAAATCTGATATTCTGGGTGGTGTAATAAAAAAAATAGATGCACAAATCTTAGTGAAGATGACCAGATTCTCTTGTCAATTATCCATAGCAGCGGATTACCATTGAGCCAGGGACGTCTTACAGGCTGCAAGGGCTGAGACCAAACAGCTTGTACCACTTCCGTCTGGCTGCGCGCTCCCCTCAAGGCCTGGGTGCTTCCACAGCGGAAATATCAGCCAGAACCATGCAGTCAAGTAGGTGTCTTTCCTTGCTTACTTTCTGTCCTTTTTTCACTAGGAAGTGCTGTTGGCTTTTATCTCCACCAACAAACCAACCTGCTAACTAATGTGATTTTAATAGTCGGTAGTCTGTATACTAGCAAACGTCCAGCTTTGGGGATTAGAGCACCATGACCTATGTTTGTTTCAAGTTTGGTGCAAATAACAGAGCCCATTCTTCCACTTCCTAAATTGGAGGAGGTTCAGAGAAGTTTGGAAACCTCCGTGAGAAACATGGGTAAAGAAGCTACATCAGGCCCCATTTAATAAAATAGAAGGCCACAAAGCAAAATTCAGGTTGAGAACACTGCAAAATACTTAGAGGAGGACTTGGTAAACTAAAGAGACAGCAAAAGAACAAACTTTTATCTTGTTTAAGCACACAGGTTTTACCTTTGCTGATAACCAAGTCACATATTTGTTTCCAGTTTGTTACTAACTTTGCAAGTAGTACATGTGGAAATTTGGAACAATCACAGAAAATCTGTATTCGGACAGACTTAGAAACAGTGGAGTACTCACAAGTACATTTGCTATCCTAAGTTGTATTTTATTTCCTCAGGTTCAATTCCTTTTGGAACTTTTACCTTAAAGCATAGTTGTACTTATCACAGTGGGGGTTTGTTGTGTCCAAGAAAGGTTGCTTTGCATTGAGTATTATGTGACAGATTGTTTCCGATGGAAAGTTTGGTGATTTATAATACTAATGCTTGCTCCTTATTAATAAGTTTCTACAATTAGTCTACTCAGCAACCATTTATCTTGAACAATTTTATGAAATAATTTCCTTATATTTTTTTAAATATTTTATATTTTATATGTGATTTTTGGTATAGTGACCTATACAATAGATATGTATAATGTTAATACATTGAATTTATGAAGAGAATGTTCTAAAGACCTAATTTTTTGACCTATCAGCAAATGTGAAATTTACAAAAATTTTTAGAAGATGAATTGTCTTTCAAATAAGTAAGTCTTACTTCATTTTTCTGTGGAAACTTGAAATCTTTCAGAGTTTTTTGATGATGAAATTTATATTCTTCCTCAACACATGATTATTCATGTGAAAAATATTAGGATCCTGTTGCTTAATCCCTTACTCATTATAGCTTATCCCCATAAAATTTGCTTTCTGTGAAAACTGAAGCATGTAAATCAGTACAGTTTTGTATGTCTTCTTTGAATTCCAGGAAGGCTAATAAGTATTATTGCAGGAGGTAATTCTTAAAATCAGACATTTAATTAAAAGAAATGTGACATGATTCAGTATTTCATATGGTTTACAAACTTGACATTTTTGTATGTATGTACATACATGCATGTATACTAGCACACACAGAGACAGAGTGGACTTTTTATAGCCACATCAAAAGCTTACCTCTTTATTTTATTAAACAAAAGTTTCAAGTGGTGTTATATGTACTCTCACAGGAGTTCTGAAGGTAGGATTGTAATGAAAACTAAATCAGTTTTTAAAAAGAATTACAAATGAGTCTTTGCTGTTACATGAACAACTCAATTTATTACGAATGAAAATGCATATAAAATAGTTGCATAATTTGAAATATAAGAACCTATAATGTAGTCAGAATCAATAAACATGATGTTCTAGTGATTTTGCAAATCTTATTCCAAATTTACAAGGCTGTTTTGTGAGAATTTACTTTTTTTCGGTTCAGGGAGCTTTTCATCTTGATTGCCTATAATGAAGAACACAAGAAATGTAAATTAAGAAAGACTGATAATCTAAACAACCAGACATACCTGATACTACATAATGTTAAGAAATAAAGTCTAAAGAAATATCCAAACTACATGTTCAAATATGAAAAATTAGAAATGAATTACTCATTATGCTGTATATTTTGCCTTAAACATCTGTCTGTATCTATCTATATATTTATCTTATTCCACTTGTTTGTTCTTTAGGAATATGGATTATTAGCTTTAAAAATAACTTAAAACAGTCATATAGCTCCTCATTACTTTTTATTGCTTTTGAGTAATGATATAGTTGGTTTATTTGATGGAAAATAATTGCTCAGAAGGTGACCAGCTTGTTTTAAAATGGGCAATAAGAAAGTTTATCATTTAATTCTATGGAAGCCCTATTTTATATGATTAATTAAGTACAAAGTAAAAAGAATTACATATAAAGTGAAAGATAAGTCATATGTTTTTCATATGGTTCTCAGGAAATTAATTTTTTTAAACAGTTCTTTTTAATGGCTGTGTTACTGACATTTTGTAAGGGATAGATGAGTTTTGTTGATTTCACCAAAATTTGCTGGTGGGATCTAATTCTTCACTAGCAATGATGTCTCAAGAAGAGTTATAATTTTAAAAAAGCTGAAAGCTGACATAGGGTAAGTACAAGTTACAGTCAGAATCAACAAGCCTGACATTACCTTCGGGTAGGTAAATCTTGGACTATGCATTTTCACCCTTTATCGATTCTGCATGCTCTCTGTCTAGGGGTATAATTAATGTTAGGTTAACACTTTGCATTAAAACTGGTCAGGCAGACTCAGTTTTTCAGACAGTCAGAGGGAACCCTTTTATGTTTGTTTGGCTTTTCTTTCTTTCCCTTTTTAAGAAATTGGAATTGGTGGAAGGGCATCTAACACTTATTGCAACTTTTCACACTTAAGAACCTTTTCACAAATTAAAACTGTGTATGAATGGCCCTCATTCTAGAATGTAGACGTGAAAGCTTAAAACGGCATCTGTGAAACATCTTCAGAGTCTCATATAATAAATCTTGTACTGTTTGCAGCTCTTTTGAAGTTCGATAGTCTGTATAGTAGGGCTGGGGAATACTGAGGGATTGGTTTAGAAGAAGAATTTAAACTACAGGTAGGTAATTTTATTTGAGGCTCTATCTCCAGGTTTCATTTTCACATCTTCCCCCCACCCATTATTTAACAATTCTTTTTTGGTCATTTATTCATTTTTTGGTTTATTCATATCACTAAGCCAAGGTACATAAATGTATCTTTAATAATTTATTTTATGTTTCAAAGCCTTATTTTCATTTTGTTGATCTTATTGTTCGTTTATTTATTTTTTGCCTTTTCTTTTGTTTTATCATTTTTTTTTTCCAACCACTCCTGTCCTTTCACTCAAACCCTCCTTTAACTCACTACCAAAATAAGAGCCGTCAGCTCCTCCTCAAGATATTAGTTGCACGAGCCCAAGTTCCACTAGTATTTTGGTAAGTTGGCAACCTCCACCAGTGGAAAAACAGAATGGCATTATTACGGAATACTCCATCAAGTACGCCGCAGTGGATGGAGAAGATGACAAGCCTCATGAGATTTTGGGAATTCCTTCGGACACTACCAAGTACCTTTTAGAACAGCTGGAAAAATGGACTGAGTACCGGATCACTGTGACAGCCCACACGGATGTCGGCCCTGGCCCCGAGAGCTTGTCCATGTTAATTCGAACCGATGAAGATGGTATGTTGCCTCTGCTGCGTCATCTTGCACCCTTCTGACACACTCTTGGTCTGCTGTCTTTTGATAGGCTAACAGTAATCAGTTTTTTTCTGCTCATCTTTTTTACCCAGCTTCGCTGTCATGTCAGTGGTTTTTGCCAAAGACCTACCTTTACTACGGCCTGGGCATTTTTTTCTTCTTTTTAATCTCAACACAGTAATATGCTTCCTTTTAAAAGAGCAGTATGCTTCTGTGACCTTGCAGTCCAGGCCCTTCTCTGTACCTCCATCTAAAGTCCTCTGCATTTTTCTTGGCTTTTTGTAGTCACGTCTTTTATGTTTTGAAGTTAACTTTTCAAAAGTGCCTTCTTAGCCTTTTGTTGCCTTTTTGTCTTGCATATTTCAGAGACACTGATGCTCGACATTCAGTTTTTGGCATCTGTTGTATGGAATACCTTTGATATGAGAAAAAAAAAGAAGAGAATCCTTATAATCAAGAATCTTTTTATTCTGCTAAAAAGAAACCTTAAAAAAACACACAACAATCAACAACCAGTTTTTGTTATTATTTCCGTGCTATACTTCTTTGTGCTTTAATGCTTTGAACCTCAAAGCATCTTCCTTGGCTTTTGTACATTTTTTACATGTTTTTCTATTTCTCTGATACTCTTTTTTTCTTCCATTTTTTTTTTTTTTTGGCATCGGTCATGTTTTTTGATCTTTTCTTAAAAGGTAGAGCAGATTGGTTGAGCATTTTCATTGGTTGAAAATGTTTGTATTCCACAAAGGAAACATAGTGGGTCTGCCTTTTTTTTTTTTTTAAACCTAAGTAAAGAAAATGCTCTGACTGGGTGGGACTGGTGCCTATAATTTTCTTTTATCCAATGATGTTGTTCCAGTTCCTAGTGGTCCTCCTCGCAAAGTCGAGGTAGAGGCTGTCAACTCAACATCTGTTAAAGTCTCATGGCGCTCACCTGTGCCCAATAAACAGCATGGCCAGATAAGAGGATACCAGGTGCATTATGTGAGGATGGAAAATGGTGAGCCCAAGGGCCAGCCCATGCTGAAGGATGTCATGCTGGCTGATGCACAGGTAAGCCTCTGAAATTACATACCTATGTTTTTAGAGGATACATTTATTTTAGTCTGTACCTTACAATGGGCCCTATTTTATTTTATTTTATTTTATTTTATTTTATTTTATTTTATTTTATTTTATTTTATTTTATTTTTTGCATTTTAAAAGTCCTGTCCAAAATTCTAGTTTTAAAACACATGATTCATATTTACCTTCTCAGTGTTGACTTCAAGTGAGGAAGTGAATTGTACTGAAATGACACATCTGATTAAAAACATGTCACTGTTTTCTTAAAATACAGACATGCAGCTCTCTACAGCTCTGTTTGCCTTTCTGACTTCAAAAAATTGACTTAACTAAATCAAAGGAAAGAACTTTAAACAGAAATGTTGCTGATAGGATCTATTTTCTGCTGTGCTAAAACTGTTTGGAACTAAGTTCATCAAACTTCTAAACATACGACTTCTTCCACTGAAGAACAGACATTCTTACTTGGGGAAAGGTATCCAGATAGTATTTTCATTAGTATCTTTTTACCAAATTACATATTTAATGAAAACAATTGTTTTATTTCCCAGAAAATGAAGATGATGAGAAAGATTAGTTTCTCAGGGAATTAATGGGATCCCCTATGTTGAGGCAAATTGAGAAAACTATTAAGAGTAGTTGAGTACGTGAGACATTCTGTCAGTCCTAAGGCAGTGATTTATAACCATGTGGTCACAACTTGATTTTATAGTAAGTTGTTTAAAATAGAATATTAAAATTCTTCCAACTGTTTTTTTTTTTAAGAAACACGAAGTGATTCTAAAATAGTGCCATAATAAATCTACCTATACATATATTTCTGAAAGGGAGAGGAAGATTTTTACTAATTACTGCCCTGCTGAGGATTAAACACAACCCATGGATTAGCTCACCTATGCCTGTTCCAATGGTGATGCAGTATTATGAGTAGGGGAATGCTTTGCTTATCCAGCAAATTGGTGGCTGGGCATGAAATTGGATACAGTTACTCAAAACTTGAAACTTCAATAGAAAATCCCTTCGTCTGTATGAAAGAGGGAAAGGTTACAAGCAAACTTGAAAACTGCCACATCAGCTTGCTGAATTTTGCCTTCTTTGTGACAATGACAGGGCAATAAATATCCCTGTTTTTTACCCCAAAGTCTTTACTTTGTATTTGCCCCAAAATCTTAATGTAATCATCCCACAGAGGTACTTATGTTTTCAGTTGTAAAACATTCTTAACTAATGGGTTCTGGCTTAGTGGCTAACTTACCTACCTCAGATCCAGTTTTGGTTTGAAGGCCAGTTCTATAAATATAGTCAGAGACTCATGTTGTCCCTTAGACTCTGGAAAAAGGGACATTGACTTGTTGAATATTTATTTCATACTGCCTGTAACATAGAAAGTTCTTAGAGTATAAAATTAATAAGGCCCTTACTGCTTGTTTTACTTGGTAAGTCTGCACAATTATGAGAAATAAAATGATACGACCATCATGCTTTGATATCCTTCTTCAGTTCTTAGATAATCTTACATTATAGAAATACAGTTCTGTTGCTGTTTTCATTGGGAATCTGGTACTTAAAGAAATTACATGCTATGAAATGCCTTCAGTGTCAACTCATTTCTTTTTTCTCTTGAACTTTGGCTTTTCTTTATTATTTTGCTGATTTTCCTTGTGGTGGTGGTGTCCTGGTTATTTTGTTTTTTGCTCATTTCATGTTCTCTTGGAGTATTCATTGAATTTTATTACATCTTGCAGAGCTTGACGAGGGCTATACATTTTCAATATCAGTGGAAAACGTTCATCTATATAGTGACTTGAAATGTGTGTGTAACCTAGGTAGAAGTCAAAATAAATGTCATAATGTAGTATGCATAAGTAAACTACTTGCTATATACCTTATTGATTCATTCCATTGAACCACATAGTTTTTAAAAATTAGCTGGTTTTAGTGATAACAATATACGTATTTATTTTCAACTTCTCAATTGGGAGTGGAAGTGGCAGCATAACATACTTACACTCTGTGGAATTTTATTGTACACACTTCAGTTGCTTATTCTTTCTTTCTTTTTTAATCTAAGAAGGGTGCCATTGCCTTTATCAGGCTACAAGTTTCTATTCATTTCTTTTTATTTTGTTTCCCTCCTCCTCAACCTTCTTAATCTCAATCAGTGGGAATTTGATGATACTACTGAACATGTGAGTAATTGCTTTGTCAAAACAGATTATAAATGGTTGTTTTTTCCAGATACCCCTCTTTCACTTACTTGT